AGTGAATGCATTTATTGTGTGTTAATTCTATAGAAGTAACTTCAAATCTCATCAAGGTAATAAATCGAATCGCTGGAACAAAACTAACCGATAATCAAATGATGAATAACTTCAAGCTACACGTTTGATGGTGGCTAACAGTAGAATCCTAGAATCGCATTTTGCCTTCCACATACACCCAAGTGAATGGTGATGTTTCCTTTTGCGGATGTAATCCATCACACATCATTTCAAACGACATAGCACTATGCAATAGGTTACTAAGCTACGAGGAACAAGTAACTCTGAGCTAGTTATCATGATAATATCTAGGCATCCAATCAGACACCTTTGTATAGAACTACAAACTGTTGATTGACTAAGATGAATATTTTCACACCACTGATATCAACCAATAGTATATAGTTCTACGCAACTACACTTGCTTTCTAAACTATCATTTCTGGTATCAAGCAGATCACATATATTGTGATCTGAACAATTTACCTTCCGAAAGATACTGTGGTGAAAATTTCACCCCTCGAACTATGTACATTGCAAAATGCGAATTGATTTGCAGATTGTGAATTTGATTCAGGGACCTTATAGTCAAAAATTAGAATGTTCAATTGGGCCTAAATACAACAAATGGAAATCATAAGTATGATTAAAGGATTATTACATAGGTGGTATTTAAACTGTCAAGCAATTAATTGTAGAATGTTCATTCACTAATATGCTTGCTTACAACACCTTTAGAGGACACCTTATTCGCTGAATACGTACATATATGATAACAAATCTCTAAAATATCAGAAATCATTTCATTGAAACAACTTTCGTTTTTCTACCACCTTAGTCGAATGATTTGACAATGAGGCTTCCAAGATCCTTTTAGGCTAACTTTACTGCAAAACAGTACTTTTAATTAATTTCTCGGGTAGTTTAATTGGTATTTAGACTATTAGCCTTGATGTCATATATCTTGCCTATTATATCATTATTTATGTGGTAAATATAGTCTCAACAGCACCTCTCCGCTTTGTCATATTGTCTGCAGTCCTCTTCAACTGGGTCTGTGACTGCCTATAAGCTCTCATCTTCTCCTCTTGCGATATCCTCTGTGTCACTCTTGCAAATCCAACTCGTCGTTTCCTATTCCGGTTCCATTTGAGCTATGGCCTGGCGCGATGTCACACGATGTCCTCATCATGTGTCCGATGCATCCCATCATCTTCGGGATATTTGTTTTTAAAATCGTTTATTGGTTGATATGTTCCCAGGGTTACTTGTAGGTAACTCTTTCTGGTTAACTATTTGGTCCTCAGCATGGAGTGAAGACAGCTGTTGAAAAAAAACCCGCAACTTGTTGGAAATCCTTTATGTGCAGTGCTGGCTAATTGACGCATATGGAAGCACTGAGTGACTTAACATTTCTGTTGAAAATCCGACTTTTGTTCTTCATTCTAAGTGCAGAAGACTTCCAAACTGATTCCAGAGTGATAAAGGTGTGCCTTGTCTTTCTAATTCTTGTTTTGCCAGCCTCATATGTACTTCTGCCTGTAGTTGAAATGAAGGAAGTTACCACTTTCAAGTAAGCTTTTCACGTTAACTATCACGAAGAGTGTTTTAGATGACAGGAGCAGATTTCGTGCGCATATAAGAGTGACAGTGCATAATGTATAATCCTGTTCAGTTTTATATTGTTAATTATTTTAATCCTTGATTAGAATGTAACAATATCCCTTTTTACCACCCTAGTCAAATAAGAATTTTCAAGTGATAGTTTATACGGATATAAATGATTTTTAGGTTATATTTCATCACTAACCTACAAGAGTCGGAGAACAATTTAAAATAGGAAAAAAGTTTCATCCTAGTCTGATTCTCTTCGTCAGTACACAGAGGGAATCGAACCCAGAACCTTCAGTTTACGAGGTGACCATGGTGTCCATTCAACCACTTGGATGGAATCTGACTGCTCATCAGTTTTAACTCCTTCCAATTCGCTTGTATGTCGTCAGGGAGTTGTCATCAAAATTATCTAACTGATGCTGATTAGTGATTAAATCTAACTTGAAATCCTTTATTATGTTTGAAAACCAATACATGGAAGCAGAATAATATATTTAACGCTTTTATTAGTCAATTACCTGATATTTACAATCTGTTACTTTTTCCCTAGTGTGCATATTTGGTTTGGCTATGGATACAGAGACTGAAAATAAACATTCTGTTGGTCTAGCAGCAATGCGCGATATACAGAAATATTATGAAGATGCAGAATTTTGAATTTATTCCGATTACTTATTTATTTATTTGAACAATATCTATTTTAAAGAATATATTTTATAGTAAAGTGCATTACTCTTCCTTTTCAACCTACATAAAGCGTGTGTAAAATGTAAATAATATGAATAAATATATTTTGAATTATTGCCACATACATTTCTGTTTTGTGTTAGAAATATAAAAAAAGAAACATTTTTTTGGAATCCGAAAGCCTGTTGTTCAATGGCTGATATCATCCAGATTTCCATCTTACCTTCATTCACCATAATTCACGTTAGTTTTTGTTTTCCATTTCTTTGCCTTCCGAATGGAGCACATTACTTGAGGCTTAAGCTCTGAAGTTTTATTAGCGATGGTTTTATTTTACGGGGCAGAGTTGCAAGCATCGCTCTCATGTTTCATTCTTTACTGGACTTATGAGTAATTTTTAGAACCGTGTTGGCCGTAAACTGAAACCTGACCAAGCCTGTAGTAGGCGAGCATTCGACCACTGGACCATCCATGCGTCATTTCTGGTAACAGTAGTCTGATAATTCAAGACACTTCCTAACAGTCTCGTCATCAAGGAATTAACTTTAGTTTTTAAAATAAAGAAGGTAAATGTTCTTAACAGAGAAGTTCCTTTCCCAGATATTAGATATTTAAAGTTTGAAAGGTGAAATCGACTTATATTTTTGTGATTTCAGTTTAGACTGACAATTTGACTTTCAAGATGCAGACTATAGCAGTTGATATAAGAACAGAACTTGATATCATTATGAGTAATAAATCGTGCTCAAAACGTCATCAGTAAATATTACTGTATAACACTGTGAGACTTTATCAAAATAAATTTTACCCACAATGGGATTTATCAGTTGAGTTACAAAATAGTGAGCAATCATTGAATATATAATTGCTTTCAAGTGGTGGCTTTGGTAAAGGTTTCACTAAAAAGCTTTCATGAACGAAACAGCAAGTTTATCTATACATTATCAAAGAATCTTGAATCCTCTCGTCTGCTGTAGAAGAATTACTTTTGATAATGACCATATACGGTTACCGAACTTTATAGTTGCACACAGTTATAAAGAAGACTTGTCAGACCGCTGAATAATGCTCGCCGGCTGGGAATGTTTTATGTTATCTGTAGTTTTTCTCTAAAGAGTTAAGATTTAAAAACCCAGACAACTCAAAGAAAAATAATTATATTTTACAGATTAAGGTTAGGGCATTTTAAAATGATCCAAATGAATAAAACCGATAGGAATGAAGAATGAAAAAGACAGTAACCTATGTGGCAGTATAAGGACTTTAATAAATCTCATAGAATGTACGGTAACAAAAAAAACAAGGCGTTAAAATAATTCATTTGTCAAGACTCTGTAACACGGAGTCTTAAATTTTGCTTCCAGATATCCTGCTTTAGGAAAGAATCTTTTGCTAAGTTATGACTGATTTTCTTTTTAAATTGCTTTATAAGTAAACCACTTGAACCTGAGACGTAACTAAAAGTTCGTGTTATAAAATGGCTCTGAGTATGTGCAAACTAAGTGTGAATATTTTTCAGTGAATTAAATAACCTGATGATAAGGTTTGTTCCCTCGAAAAACTAATTATCTCTTCCGTGAACAACCCATTTATCTATATTTACTAATATTTGTAAATTCAATGAGGTTTCTGTAATATATCAGGACTTAATTCAGATTTAGGTGGTACTGTAACAGACGAAGGCAAGAGACGGAAGCCAAGGTATATTTCTCATTAATCAAACCATTGTTTATATATGCAGTATATATTCGTTAACCAATCACTGAGCGTGTGATTTTGGTTTACATTAAACTATGTGAAATAGAATTTTCAAAAATACGTAATATTTTTTTTCTAATACTGTATTGAAATGTGAGAATATGTGAGAATTATATCACGTTGGAACATATTGTTCGCATCACACCACCACAGTACTTCACTAAAAAACTTCTGCCTGTTATCCTCAAGATGTTAAGAACCAACGGTCGGCGATTGTTGGCGACATGGTTGAAATTCATTCTAAATGACTCGAATTTATTCACCCCCATAGGATCTTCCAGTTTCATGAAATGAATAGTGTATCGTACAGTTTTTACTCTAAGTTTTTCGAACATTAAGTCTTTTATAACTGCCTCTAGTCCTACCTGATGAGATGCAAGAAGAGAACTGTGTCTAAAGAGAATGTTCAGAGCACGGTAAGATGATATGCTCAAGTTTCCCGTATGAGTTCAACTGTCTGTCCCCAACAGTATTAACAAGTTGGTTTAACGGTATCCCACTCATCTTACAGGCAACTTTTAATGCCCTTCACAATGTAACAGACTATCTCTGAAGTAGCTCATGAAAAATAAATTGGAGCAATAAAGATGAATTAAGAATTTCTAAACCTAAAGGCTGACTGAGTGATACCACTTAGAAGTTTAGAGGAATTAACTTTATAGAAATTAACACGATATGGGGAAACTAGGAAACATCGGAGTTGAGACATAATCTAAGATATTTCACATTCGACTTAGTTTCAACTTCTGTGACTCCGATGATATAAGATTCATGTATATCCCATTTGTGTACGAAAGTGAAATCAACAATCTGACATTCGGAGCGATTTAACAACCTCAACTGCTAGACTTTTGAGCAAACTTCTTCTCCGAAAATACAGTTAATTTTAGTATCATGGTGTACTATGCTAATTGACTTTAAAAAAAACTTGGAATTCATATGTAGCTTTTATTTTCAATTTGGAGGAAAACCAGAAGTGAATTCTTGTCTGTACGTTTAACTAATAATTCGTATTGCCGTAGACGTGTAACTCTTTCCCGCTTTTTTTATGAATAAATTAACATGAAATTAAGTAAGTTTTTATCAATATGCATACAGTAATAAGGTCTATTTTAACTGATCATATCTTTCTCAGTGTTCATGCATCCTTTACTCTATCCCTCTGTCTTCGTCTTCTTCGCATTATGATTGTTTCTAATTTGTTATTGTCACCACCAAGATAGATATTAACACCCAAACATATAACTAATGATACATTTTTCGACAGGAAAAATAGACATAAAGTCATTTAAACGAAATTTACAGGAGAGAGAGGGATGGACAAGCAGACAAAAAAGGGGACCAGGTCAAAAACGACCAACAAATACTATTGAAATATTAATCATAAGACCGATGGAAATAAAACCAGAACCACTATAACTTGAATAAGATGTTCGAATTGTTTAACTGAAAAGAATTAAACAGATAACATTCCTTTATTAACATCATTATCATTACTACTATTATTATTACTATTATTTTATTCAGCCTTTTCAGGAAAGATTGAAATTCCTCTATATTTTATATGATTATTTAATAGTCATACCATTGGCAGCTAGACGCATTTTCGGTTTTCTTTCAGTGTATAATGTAAGAATGACAATGAAGAATAAACCTAATGCCAGAATAAACGGTATTAACAACTGAACAACTGGTGTTAATTTTGATAGAAAAATTACAAAACCGCTTCGTGGTATTGTATCAATATGAATAATACCTGACCATTCACCATAAGTGTCGTTATTAATCGTAATCAAGTCATCACTATTATTCTTATTGTTATCATAGCGTACTGCACAGGCATCACCATGTACACAGATTAAATGGTGTAAACCTTTGTATTTCTCATTTCTTATGGATACTGTTTCAGCTACAATAATATTATATGCTGAGTCTAGTTTATATCGTCCACGTGTTTCTTTTATTAATGTCGTAAAATCAATTTGTTTCAATTTGGTAGCTAAATAACGCGTAGATGATCCATATTGACGAATAATACTTAAATTATAGGCTGTTTTAGTTAGTTCCATTAATTCTTCATTATTATCTGGTGCATAAAACCATGTTATTGGCTTTTCTGGTGAATTTCTGACTGGACATGTGATAACTAATCGTTCACCTTCATTCACTCGCATAGTAACGTGTTTAGGATAACTTTGCACTCTACTGAGAACTGATGTAAATGAGGTAACATTTTTACTAGGAAAATAAAATAAAGTAAATAAATAAGTGAATAAAAATTTTTGATATTATTTCTGATAAATATATATTGAACAATTCGAATTATAATATATGTGTAAAACTTGGGCACTGTGGTAGTAAAGAATTCCAAATTAGTTTGTTTATTAGATGTATCACATAGGGAGTGAAACAGTATTATTTACTAGATGAACAAAATCAATTGTAATCACACGACTTTGAAACTTGAGTTTTATGGTTTTTTTCCCTCTCCTATTTGTCGTAGGGGTAGTAGAATTTTCCAGAAATCTTGGTGGAGAGGTGTTGAATCATTCCTATTACAATATTTGCACTTGATTCGATAAACAAAGCTTCTGTTGTCAATCTCTCCCCATCCTATTGTATGGTTGTGTAATTACATGCAGTGAGTGGTATAGCTGAACTATTCTCTAGATCTCTTATCTTATTTGGGTCAACCAATCTAGATCTAGCTAGGTTTTTATGTTCGGCTAGTCTGACTGCCCCTGTTCTAATAGCTTGACCTATGTATTTGACCTGACAATCATTCCAGCAGGGTATTAGATAAACTAAATTGTTTTGTTCTAAAGGCTCTACAGGCAGGATCCTTTAACCGACAAAGCTTGTTTCTAATTGAGTTTGTGGGTGGTTTGAATGCCAGCCACTTTTATTCCTGCCTGCCTTGTTAAGAATTCTGCGTAAGGTGGGATTACTACCGATGATTTAGATTCCTTATTGTTGTGTCACCAACATAAGCATTTTTGATTGATTATAATGAGATTGTATATAAAATGACTGTTTTACTCGTTGGATGTATTACTTCTTAAAATGTGACTAATTAGTCGATAATAAACCTTGTATAATCTATTATATCTTTCAGGTGAACAATATCATATTTTAGCTTACCTTCAAACGCTTATACGTATAAATCAGTATTAGTTAATGGACTATCAGGAATCAATGCATACGGTACACTTCTGTTCTACTCATTAATAGTATATATGCTAAAGTGTTGAAAGTGAACTCAATACAAGGGTTTCGCATCAGGATAAAGGTAATATATCAAGGTGTTATTGTGCACAGTATTGTAAACTGTTCAGCAAATGTTTCAGCTGTGCTAAACACCTATAAAACGCCTTTGAAACACCGAAATGTAACATTTGAAATTATTACAGAATACTTTTAAATATCCAACAGGAAGTTACATAAGTGGATGCACAACACCAGCTACCAGAAGAAATGCAAACTGTAATTGACCGCCTCTGTTCTATCTTATCATGGAGGCGAAAATGAAAGGGAAGTAAGCTTGTATGCTAATTGCTTATTTATGTCTTTACTCGTTTTTGAAGTTGTTTTATTGATTTTTAAAACAGCTGGATTATCTGTTGTGCGCTTTAGTATATTACGCATACAAATACCTTGAGAATACTTTTATCTTCACTCCTACATATCCTACTCAACTTATAATCATTTAATTTAGTAGTCAGTTATTTTCTCATGGCTTGGTTATGTACCGCATAGGCTATTAGCCTTAATGAAATGTAGACTTGCAAAATAATTTTTCCTTACTAGACTTATCACTTTGTTGTTTATTTTAGTGTTCATTGAACATTATTATTGCACTTGAATGGAATTATTTATTTATTATTATTATTTATAAAAATCTAATTTAAATAATTGAAAATTAATGATAATTCTAAAAGTTGAGAACTTATCAGTTTTGATGAATGGAATTTTGAGAAAGTGACCAACCATTAGTTTCATGCACGCACTTAGTTTCAGAGTGACTAATAAACCTGAAATAAATCATGAATATCAGTAATAAAAACATTTATTTCATTTGTAAAGTCATACTGGGAACGTCTAGTGTTTTCAAATGGCCCATTGGAATTTTTAGCATTCGATGTCTGTTTAGTATTGAACTAGAAGACTTCATCATACAGAGACGCAACAACAGAGTGATCAAATGTTAACACTTTAGTATAGCTACTCAGTTGTCAACAGATGTAATCACTTTCTAACTGAGTCTTAGTTGCCCAGTTTTTGGCGTTTTGTGGTGCACCACACTGATAGAATGCCTTCATTATAGCACACCTACGTGAAAGCATTCGGACTAATGAAAAAGACGTTTAATACTTTGTATAGTAAAAAAGAACAGATTTTATTTGCTGATGAAGGTGGTAACAGACTTAATGCAGTCACTTACTCTTCACCTGAACATGTTTGTATACACCGTCTGATCTTCAGCTCACTCGGTCTTTTATGAAATTCCGTTGGACCATATTTCAACAAAGAATCTCTGATTAAATGAGATCGGCAGGGTAAACCTGGCTCATTGTACAAGTTCAAGATTTCACCTGTTTCAATAGCTAACATGTGTGGTTGAATTGCATATGACTGATCGATAGGAGCGACATGACAGATACCAATTTTTATTTGAATACCACTTATTTTTGACTCTGATGATAAGTTCAAGTATTCTTTTGGAGTGCAGGGAATACAGTCAGACCACGAAGACCATTGTGTAAATAGCTTTAAGTTATTACTAACCAAAAACTGTGTTGCTAACGGTTGTAAGCTACTGTCACTAGTTATACTACTATTCCGTGTAGTTGTGGAATTTTCCGTTATTCTTTCTAAAGGTAAGAAGATGTTTCTAAATGGTTCATCACCAGGTTTCAAGACTGTTACAGCCCATACTCTTAATTCTCTTCCTTTAAAGAAACAAGTGTAGACTCCAGTATCGTCGACTTTTGCACGTCTTATGTAAAACATATCCTTATCAATATGAGTACGTGTCTTGCCTAATAGTTTTCTTTTTTCTGTTTTTATTACGTCAAGAGGTTGACCAGGCTTAGAACTGTAAAATATAAGGATAACGGTTCGCGTACTTCTGACTCAGCTTCTGAAATATTCTGTGCTTGAAATTGTGAATTTCCATATAATAAGGGGAGCGCACTAGCAACTGTAGACAGATTTTGCCAGATCCGTTTACGCAATCTACGGAAAACATAAAAACACGTTCAAGTAATAGTTACACACGACCACCAATAATAATAGGGTTATATCTTCAAAATGAGTGATTCATAATGAGAAAACTACATAAAACACAGTAATGTCTGTATGGGTCTATTCATATGAGTTTTGATCACGAATTTATTCCAGTTAGAGAACCACTGTAAACCAGGAAGTACGGGATAGCTGTTTCGTCACACATCACAAAAAAGGGAGAAATATCTGTCCAGTACTCCGTCGCTTTCAATGGTTCTCTATCTGAAATAAATTCACTATGAAAAATTGGAATCAATTAAGTCCCCACAGAACCAACATTTCATGTTTATTTGCTCTCTGTTATTCTTGTTTCTTCATAAGTAACAGATTTTTACAGACTTAAAGCAATACAGTCTCATCAATGACGTTTCATATTTACATTAGGCATTGTTGGTCTATGTTTTGGGCATGTAGACGAAAATTTCATTTGATACTTAATTCAGCAATCATAACCAAATGAAGATTTCTTTTTATGTCAATACATACAACTCTTTTAATAAATCCTAAAATTACTATAGTCTAATGAGTTGATGTTTATTAGGATTTTATAACCTGCAATCATGTAATATTTCAAAGCGTCAAAAGAGCTTATTTCACATATTTGCTGGGGCGTAAGACAACCCATTAACCTCGCCCAGCTAGCCAGCTTGCTAGTTTTCTATCCGGCCCCAAGCCTGGGTAAAGAGGAAGGGTTGGGCATGGGGCTAGTGACCCTACTCCACAAAACCTACCAAACTTCTAGAGGAACTTCAGCATACAAGAGATATATTAAAAGCACAAAGTATTTAATAAAAAAAGCGTATTCTTTGCTCAAACCAGAGAGGCGAAATGACACTGCTGTCTGGTAAATGCCCTCGGAAAGCCAGTCATGCATCTTCGCTCGATGAAAGAAGAAATAGGAATGAGGACGTAGGATGTGTGTATAATGTACGAGGCTGTAAGGGCTGTCCATGCAGCTAAAGCAATATGAAAATATGGCATGGAAGTGCTGAGTGTCTGCGAGAGCAGACTGAATGAATGTGGACTACCGAAATTATCAACTGAAGAGTCTTTAATCTACTCCGTACCGCCAAACTACAACCACCAGCACTCTGAGGCAGTGAATGGCTATTGTGATGTCACCAGTAGCAGCTAGAGCCCAAATGCAGGGGAACCAATCTTTTTTTGCAGGATTATGACAGCAGGTTTTAAATCAAAAGAGAGGAAGATTACAATTATCCAGTGCTACGAACAAGGCTAAAAACAACGCAGAATAAAAGAAGAAGGGACATTTTTATAGACAACTATAAAAATTAATGGACAGTATCCCAAATGACGACATCAAATTCCTTATGGGTGATATGAATGCCAGCCTAAGTGGGAGAAGATAATACAGGAAGAGGACTCATCATGGGTCGAGAGGCTCTTGGTGAAATGAACGAGGACGGATAATTATTCTCAGACTTCTACTGTTTCAATGATTTGGATGCAGCGTGTACGAGCACAAGGATATACACAAAGTAAAGTGGATTTTATTGGTATAAGGATATAAATTGTGCACTGTGGCAGAGTATAATTTCACTGTGGGTAAAATTTATTTTGTTTACTGATGACGTTTCGAGCACAATTTATTGCTCATAACCATAAGTGCTCAAAACGTCATCAGTAAACGCTACTGTGCAACACTTTGTGACTTTATCAAAATAAATTTTACCCACATCATGAATTTTGCCTGATGGAAAAACCACAAAACAGATAGATTTCATCTCAATATTACTCAAGGAAATGGAGACTCATTCAGCTGAACACAAAGTCGAGAAGGGGAGCAGATGGGGGCTTAGACCATCATCTATTTCAAGGAACCTTCAAGGTGAAACTGAAATCCTCTAGAAAACCCAGACACAGGCAACAATTCAAGTTCAGCACATAGAGACTGAAGGACAAAATTAAAAGCGATACCTCTACTACAGATCAGATCAGAGCAAAGTTGGAGACGCTAAGTTGTATCACTGGGGAAACATGTGGGGAAGAACACTGGTACTTTCTGAAGGCGTACTGAAGAAAACATGTAAAACTGTTCAAAAAAGAAAGAAAAGACAAGACATGGAATGGTTGTCAACGGATACACATTTGGACGCCAATCGAGGAGAGGAGGATGGTGGAGGAGAAGATGACTCCGTGTAAAGATGGGCAACAAAAGGAGAAGCTGAGTTCACAGCAATGAAAACTGCAATGAATAAAGAAATAAAGAAGAGTCCTTGAAGATGCAAAAGAAAATTCCACAAAACACTGGCTTACAACTGAAGCAGAACAAGCTGCAGGTAAAGGACACCCTAGAACACTATATCAAATAATCAGATCCCTTTCAGGAAAGAGATCAAGCCAGATTTTTTTTTTGATTTACAGCTTGATTCCACACTGTATTTTCGGTACAAGTATGGAATTTTCAGCATGGATATCGGTAGCCCAAATTTTGCAGGCCGACCATATATATCAGGTGTGCGTCGGTGCGAGCTCGAACCCCGGACCATGTGCATGGTCGGCGAGAGTCCTAACCACTGTGCCACGCAAGATAATGAAACCAATCAAAGATGTTCATGGGAACTTGGTTACCAAGGAGGAAAAACAAATAAAACAGTGAATTGATCAATTCAGACGACTCTTGAATCGATCATCACACAAAACTCGCCCAGAAATACCACTAACACTGACATCACGCACAAAACTGCCTGACAGTCGATGCCAATCCTTCAACGAAAGCAGAAATCTTCAATGCAGTCAAGCTACTGGAGTCCAGTCGGGAAGGCAGCAGGACCAGACGGAATTCCCCCACCCCGAAACATTGAAAACTGACTCAGATACTGCGGCAGATGTCCTCAAGTCATCATTACAAAAGGTTTGGAAGGAAGGAAAGGTACCTACCGATGGGAAGAAAGGCTGTCCATCTTTTCAAGCTGCCAAAGAATGGTGACCTAGGCCTGTGCAAGAGCTGGCGTGGAATCACACTCTTGTCCACACCAAGTAAAATACCAAGTCGCATCATCCTGAACAGAATAAAAGACAGATACAGAACTCCGTCAACCCAGAGCAAGCTACTTGGATTCAGCGAAAGCAAATCACGTGCTGATCAAATTGCGACTCTACGCATCGTCATCACAGAACAAAGCATGGAATGGCAGTCACACCTTTCTCTGCCCCAACTTCATCGACTTCGTAAAGGCCTTCAACAGACAGCGTTGACAGAGAAGTAATTTGGAAACTACTTCAACACTACTGCGCGTAGTTCCCAAGTCTTTCCCAACCTCATTTAACGGCTGGATATATGACAATGCCTGACAAGTGTCAGTCAGGTGATCCACAAGGAAGAAGTCAGTGAGGCGTTCGAAGTGAACACGGGAGTGAGACAGCTCTGTCTACTATCACTGATGATATGCTTAATTTTGGTGGAATGGATTATGCGGAAGACTTCACGTGGGAGCGAGGAGACAAGAGTACGCTGGACGACTGATAAGAAGACTCTACAAGATCTGCATTTCCCAGGTGATATATGTCTGATGTCACACAAACTCGAAGACTTTCAGGCAGGCGAAGACCAACAAACTGGCTGAAGGGGTTGACTGGCAGTGAAGACAGTACCCCTTCCAGGTGAAGATGGAGAAGACATAGGTGATGAAGATAACCAACCATCACCAACAGAAACAACGACAACCAGCACCAATCACTATCAACGGGAGAGATTTAACAGAGGTGACTTCATGTCTTCACTCATCCAGGCGGCCAGCATCGCTTCAACTACAGGAATTCGGAATGATGAAGATGTAAAAACTGGCCAGTGAGAATCGGAAAGGCAAGATGCATCTTCATCACTCTGAAATCCGTTTGAAAATCTTCTGCACTCTGGATAGAGAACAAGATTAGGATATTCAACACAAATGTGAAGTCAGTCAGTTCTTCTATACGGGTTAGAAACTTGGCCGGCGTGTCACGAAAAGGATTTCCGACAGGTTGCAGACTTTCATCAACAGCTGCCTTCACCGGCTCCATACTGAAGATCAAATGGCCAGAAAGAACAATCAACAAGAAACTGCGACAACAAACCAACCGAGAGCCAGTTGCTCAACAAATATGTAGGAGAAAGTGGAAAGAGATCAAACATACCCTGAGGAGACCGTCAAATGACATCGCGCGCAGTGAAAGCAATCACTCGATTGAATCCCAATGAGAAGCGACGGTTGGGTCATCTTGGAGTGACGCAGAGGATTTTTAAGATAGATTTAAGATAAGATAAGCTTTATTCCAAATCAGTACTTGTGATACAGAATGGAATTCTCAGCATTTTACTACAATATTGCATCCAGTTAGTAGATTAACAATAAATATAGTTCTACATAGATTAAGGTTATCTCAGTCAGTTTTGACAACAACCTATTAGCATGTCGGTAGCAAAGCCAAAATTTAAACAGAGTGTTTGAAGGTGTTAGGAAAGCAGATACTACTAGCATATTTACTGGCGTAAGCGATAGCAAAATGGTCGACGTATACAGAGTGTGAAAGAACGAACAAGAATGTTTTAAGTAGAGTTTGCAAGGAAAAGAGAAACAAAACAACACATAACAAAAAAAGGTAGAGAGAAAACGTTGTGCCTGTAAATGATGTGACTTGGAAAGACGAGATCCATTTGTTCTACTGACTATTTAATAAGTTAAAGGTTTCACGCCTTATGCTTTCTTTATCGCACAGAACACGAGCTAGGTAGGGTATGGATGAGTTTTTGTACTTGCTAGTGCGGGCATATAGTTTCTTATATAGGCTTCTTGTTTTCCCTGAAGAGATACATGGGGAGAGTTGTGAATGTAGAGGGTGTTGTGAGTCAGATAAAATGGTTTTTGCCCATTTTTCGCATGAGTCCATGTGCCTGTCCACCAGAATATTAACAAGCTGGCTAAGTGGCAGACTGCTTACCCTGCTGACAACCTTTAACATCCTGCGTGATAAGGTATAGTCTTTCTTCAATATCCCAGGAAAGACTAAGGGGGAACAATAGAGAATAATAGGCAGAATACGGAAGTTAACAAATTGTAGGAGTAAGAGTTGGGTTACACCAGAAAGTCCTAACTTCTTGATGTAGAAGATAAGACGGAATATTTTCTTAGAAATCGTCAAGATATGAGACGACCAGGAAAGATCAGAAGATAGAGTGACGCCTAGGTATTTAATTTCCGACTTGGTTTCAGTTTCAGTGCCATCTATGTTGCACACCTCGTGAGTGGTAACCAGTTTGTTTAGGTCAGATTTGTGCCTAAAGGTGAAATTAACTGTTTGGCATTTGGAGGGGTTTAAGGTGAGACCGTTTTCTTGGACCATTGGCTGATTTCTGATAAGAAGCCATTTAGTTTAGGATATAGTGCAAAGACAAGATGAGAGATTATGGTCAATCTTGAACCCAAGTGAAGAGGATAGCAGAAAGTAGAACAGAATAGAGATGTATTGTTGTGAGCCCAATGTTCCATCTGGAACCCAAGGGAATGGTAATGATAATTTAATAGTAAAACACCCTATTTGTTGTATATAGTATGAGATCATGACATTTAAATTCTTTTATTTAACTTTGGTTTATGACAAAAATGTTAGAAAGAAATTGTCTTTTCGATGAAGCCATCGACGAGACCGTAAATTTCATGTAATTGCAGTAAGTGGATGAGAAAATTCCAGAACTATTTCCGATCAAAGGCCAAACCAATAAGATTACAAAGTGTAATAAACAGGATAATGGGATAAAACAAAAACATAATAGGAGCATAATTACTAAGAAGCTAGAATTCCTTCAGTCGGTGACTAGAAACGTAATAATAATAAAGTGGACAGGAGGTTGTGATAAAAAAGAATTTGTCAGCAAATCTCATGTCAGTGGAAAAAACATTCAGTAATGAATTTCTGCCTTACCATTTCTTTGTGTAGCCATTAAAGTTGGCAGTATTTCTGGGCCCAAAAGCCACTACCACACCACATGCTACTGCAAATCTAATTGTCCCTCTTTCACACATAACTGTGAACTACTGAGGCTCTCCTTCATGGTAGACACTTTTACTTCATGTTAATACTTTGGAATCAGAATTAAAGTTTTACAGTACTGTTGATGTAACGCAGTGTCACAAACATTCATAAGGTCTTTCGACAACTGCTAACTGATCCACAACGAAAAGTTCACCCAAGCTTTTAGAGTGAAGACAAGAGTAAGACAAGCCCACCTAATATCACAGATGACTTTACTGATTATGGTGACTGGACCATATGCCACACCGTATTTGGGCAGCGAGGAGACGACATGCGTGTTTTCATTCACGCGCACTTCACCGATAATGTGCAAATATATATATACATATATAATATCAGAATAATGCGACAACAATTCCATATGGCGCGTCGGTGGCATAGCGATCAGGACGCTCGCTAACCATGCACATGTTCCGGGGTTCGATCACCGGCCGACGCATTCCTTTACCTTGCTAAGCCAGAAATAATGCTGGTAAAGAGGAAAGGTTGGGCATGAGGCTAGCAATCCCATCCTGTATTATAAACACCGCTACAGAAACTTCAAGCCACTAGTTTGAAGCCCTGTGTTTCACTGAGGGACGTGAAGGGAAAAAAATTCCATGGGGCGAAATATATAGATTTTCCGTCGAATCACAAGCATGTCAGTCTTAATAGCACTCTTAACAAGTTACTGAAAAGGATAGTCAAGAAGACTATCATGACATATTTGGAAAATAACAATTTATTACACACTACACATCACAGCTATCTAGGAAGCCGTTCACGTCTTACAAACCTCACAAAAAAGTCAAATGGTTGAAGTCCATAGACAAGGGGAAACCCATCAGCGCTTCGTTCATTCAATCTGGAAGAGCTCTCGACAGAATGCCTTACACAGAGTTCCTCACGAAATTGTTAAATTTTGGAGTCAAGGATGACATTCTCAATTAAAATTAAAATAAACAAATAATACCAGGGTCAGCGTTAACTAGAAACCTTATTCTTTGACGATGGCAGGTATTGATGTACCAAAAGGTATTACAAGCGTCAACCTTTACCTGACTCTGTCTGCCAACATGTTTTCTGGGATCATGGAACGTCCTATGATTCTCTGCGCAGACGACTAAACATTTGGAGGCAGGTCAAATGTGACAGCGTTATGCTAACATTGAAGAGATTACTTAGACTTGTCCGAAATGTGTACTCATGCTTATCGGGCACGTAGATGTCAGCGCATATGAAATAAGGGTAATACTACCCCCTTTGTTGTAGACCGATCTAATAGTAGGTCACTACCTAAAAAAAAGTGGACTGTTGTGTAGTGGCGACTAACAGCTTCAGTAGTCTGTAGATGACACTCAGGACCCTTACTAAAGTCATGATTGGAATGTTTTCATCTATGGTCTGGTAAAAGCTAGAAAATTACACCCACGTAGCTCTTGCCTAGACAGGGATGTATATATTCCAGGAGGGTTTCAAAAGAAGGCAATAAGTTTGATTCCTAGTGTAATCAATTTACCACACAATTTTGACAGTTTCATCCCTTTCTCCTTATTATACCGTAAGCACTGTGGAGATCTAGTTATAACTAGGTCTTGTAAGCATGTATACAATGTCCGAAATTCTGAGAAACGATTAAAGATTCTATCTGTCACCTTTTAAGCTTTCTAACATCATCTCAGACGACACAGAAGCATAGTTCAGAGGTCTAGAAGAAACTATGCCGCTGTGGAGAACTGGTTCTCTCCCTGTGATATTATTTCTCAGATTCCGTTCCCACAAAGAATGTTGTTCACCTATTAAACTAGGCATTTGAGAAGAGATGCGACAAGCACGGAAATCTGATGAAACATACCGCAGACGTATATATTCTGCTGAAATACGGTTTGGTTGTACATATCCTTTAAGATCGCCTTGTCCGCTACCCAGTCTGCCCCTCTGAATGAACCAGTCTCCATAACTTTCGCCTGCCTTGCACATTTTGATACCTTTAAAACACTGAGCACAAACATTGCAATCCAAAACTAATCCATCACCCTCCGAAAGCAAATAACTTTCATATTTTGTCGGCTGTGAGAACGCTGAACAGTCCAGATAGACAGTGGCGCTTCTGTATATCCTTGCATCTGGGCCAAGCATGAAACAAAGAGATAGAAACAGGCTGATACTGGTTTTTAAAATAGAGCTGCTTATCAACATTTTCCCATACAAATCCATACAAAACAGAAATACATAACAATATTTGAAATTCTACTAAGCTAAGTAGAGATTCAATATCCAATATCCTGATAACGAGCTAGTATAAACCAGTGATTTCTTTGAGCTCACTTCTTGATTGTAAGGTAGAGGTTACAGATCTTGGGTGAACTTCTGCGTAGTAAGTCCCGCCACTCGACTGCTTTAGCTCTGGTAGACTCCAAGGAGAGTGGTGCGGGGATTGGTCAAAATGTGGTTTGTGGTATGCAGTATGTTACGACTGTGTTGCTGCCGTGAGTGGAGTTTGACCTAACTCTCGTTAGTCATTCGGTGTAGTCATAAAAGCAGAATAGTAACAATAATAATAGGTTGTTGTGTAGATAATATAGGTTGAGATAAGTGAAATAATAAAGGTGCCCTAAGGAAAAGATAGAGTAGTCAGTACAGTGAGAGAAGGTAGAACAGGTCGTGGGATTTAGTTTGTATGCTAGTCCACTGATGGTGTGGTTTTAAGTTTTATGAGGATAAGCCATTGAGACACAAACCTTGCATTTCTGCATGATTGTCCAGCTTCCGCTTAAAAATCTCCACGGATGGCGTTGTAGTCACGGCCGCCGGTAAAGCGTTCCAGAGACTGCACACTCGAAGCGAAAAGAAATGTGAACGCACTTGAGTCCTTGGTCTCTGGTGCGCTATCCTTAGCGGGTTCTCTCGTGGAAGCCTATAATCACCTACTGGCAGGATGCTATTATTTGGGCCTGGTCATTTAAGGTCTTGTAGACGGTGATGAGGTCTCCCCTGGGCCTACGGTAACTAAGTGTGAAAGGACTTACTTTCTTCAGTCTTTCCTCGTATGATTTGTTGGGGAGGCCGATCGCCCATTTTGTCGCTCATCTCTGGACACTTTCTAGAATGTTAGCATCCCTTTTGAGTAGCGGAGGAGCAATGATATTATGCACCTCAAGGTGTGGCCTCACATATATCTTATATAACCTTGAGAACAGTTCGGGAGTAAGAGCTCCCAGCCGCCTATACATAAAGTGTAAATTTGCGTAGGCTTTGGTGACGTCCCTCGTGTAATTTCCACTGGTGTCTAGCTTTTCTATTAGAATAAGACCTAGATCACGCTTTGATGGAACATAATTCAAGTTCTGGCCACCAAGGGTGTAATTTACACTCTTTGACCTGCCGGAATGAAGTTGCACTAATTTGCACTTCTTTAGGCTGAAAGACATTCCGTTAGCCATACCCCAGTCTCGCAGAGTTTGCAGGTCAGCCTGCAATCTGTCTGGGTCTTCCGATGAGTTTATTGCTCTCCAAATCTTTACGTCATCAGCGTAAAGAAGCGCAGAGCAGTTCAAGTGAGGGGGCAGGTCGTTGATAAAAATCAAAAACATCAACGGCCCTGAATGCTATAAGTATAAAGATAAAGCTCGAGCATTGTGGTAGAGTATAACTCCATTATATATAAGATTTAATATTGATGAACTACATAGCGTTATACAGTAAGATTAACTGATGACGTCTCAAGCACAAATTATTTCTCATAATGATATCAAGTCACTCACACAACTTTTTACTTCATGTATATACACGGATGAAATTGATTATGCATTTGAATAAAAATTGATACAAGATAATGTACATTCAGAAATACTGATATAAGTATAAAACATGGACATTATCTCACGCTGATTTTTAGTCCAATATCTAATCGATCCCACACATGTATATAAATGAAAGAAAAAAGTTGTGTGAGTTACTTGATATGATTATGAGCAATAGTTTGTGCTCGGAACGTCATCAGTTAATATAACTGTACAACACTGTGTGATTTAATAAAAATAAAATCTTATCCATAATGGAGACATTCAGAAATACTATTGGTGTTTTCAATCAGGTACAATCAGATGGGAAAAAAGATTTTTTTGTAGTCAAATTAAAGTTTCATCTTTGATCCAGTAACGCTCTTGAGAATAAGTTTAAGGGGAAAAGAAGCACGATTTTTAAGTTTTATACCTGAAAAGGTATAAATGGCATTCGTTTCTATCAGGAAGTTGTGTCTGTCTCTTATCTGAAGCATGTTCTCATTTACTTCTTCCAGACGACTGTCCGATATTGAATATATATATAAATGGAAGAAGTAAAATAAACAAGTATCTATAATTTGGGTGTGAATAGAGACAAGGAAGTGAGACAACACATTGCGTCGATTGATCGGTATGTTAACAAATGAGATGATAGTAGTTTTCCTGAAAGGTACTATATTTCACACTGGTTATAACAATAATAATGTATATTCTCATATAAACATATAAATTTACATGAAAATGCATGCCATTTTTACAGGCACGATCAAATATGATATAATATCAAATCGTAGATTGTCTACAAGTTAATTATGTTTCAACAGTTAAATATTTGATATATATAAATACACTCATTGTCTGAACTAGGCTGTATAGTTATTGAATTGTACAATTCTCCTCCAGGTTGAGCGGGAAAATCGACTTCGTTTCGTTTTCATCCCGTGGTTGTAGGCATACGATAACCAACCAATATTGAGGTAAGTACAACGTTTACAAGGAATTGAAAGCTGTTTTAGAAAAGTAAAAGTGCTAAGGTGAATCAATAAAGTGTAATGAAATGGGTAAGTCCAAGTATCACTAATAAATGCATTAATAAAGGAAACTCCCTAGGCTGACAACGTTCATTTGCAATGTATAATGCTTCCTGTACAGTTTCCACTATCATGATGTCCACTTTTGGTTTTAATACATTTTTTCCTTATGCCGGTTTTTTTATATTTTATGCCTTTTTGTGCATTTGGTGCACAACCGTACCCTACAGGGAATAGGAATAGAATAAGTCGAATCAAATTCATAAAGAGCTATAAAATGTTAGGTTTAATGGGATATAATGAGGATCAAGTAAAGACGTTATTAGAAAATGAGTGAGATAACACATTGTGAAGTGGTATTTAAAGATCCGACAATGGATAGCAAGATAATTTATAAGATGCCCCATAAATCTGTGCAGAGCCCACATGGTCGCATCTCAACAATAGGCTGAGCGAATGGTATATATTTAAAGGCAGAAGCATGATCTGTCAAGGCGTTCATTATTATCTTTTTCAAGATAAAGGTCTAAGCCCTCATAAAAATCAGAAATATCTCGAACCTTCAAATTGTATATTGCTGTTCCTGCAGAATGGGGCGATTCACCTTAGTGACCCCCACCATATCTACTGATCAGCTAGCGCCACCCTCCCTCCTTTCAGAAGATTTAATCTTTTTATTTTCCGAATTATGGTCCTAACTTCTGCAACCATTAAGTATTCTCAGGGATTTTAAAGAGACGAAAATGGAAAGTGTGTGTGGATGGTGAAATATTTGTAATATTATTGAAGTATTTGTGGAAACAAATATTTCTTTAAAGTCTACTTGCAGTTCATAAGTTATTAATACTTATTCTTTGTTGAAGAAAGGGTATTGAGCAGGTGTATGATGATACATGTGTTAAATATCATTAGTTTGCAATTAATAGTGGTACACCAGAGATTGTCTGGCCAGAAATGGATTCAGAGACCAAAATAATGGAATATATTATACATGTTGACTCATAAGATGTGTCACAGATAACTAGAGCCTACGGAACCACACTTGACAAGAAGCTGAGTATATTTTTAGATATTAGAGGCAGAAATGTTATTTTTGAATGGATCCAAACAATCATTATTTTCAAAAGAATGGATACTGAAAAAGGAATGCTCTTTTCGATAACTTCATCATCAGGCTCTACAGTTATATACACATTATAGTCAATGAATGAATTAGTGCTATGAAAAACATTAGGCTTAAATAACATTGAATCAATAATATTGATAGATTATAGCTCAATAGCTTCAACATGAAATAAGCTGAATGTCAGAAAAATTAGGTAAGATAACATTACAAATTCATGAATTTATAGTATCTACTGAAGACGGGCTGGACTTGCTTCTTTTGAACAAAGAGCACTGGTTGTGTGAGGCGAATTGCAATAGCCTCCGCTGTTTGGAGCATGAAGTGCTTCGATGATTTTGGCAATGTATTAGGCACCCGGTAGATGATAGTGAAGGATTCCTCCCCGCTGGCTTTGTCACCAGTTTGCACCAGATTTCCATCATCGAACTGTTAATGGTTTTCACTACACCTTTACTTAGCCATAGTAGGAGATGTTCTCTAGAACGAAAAATCAAGTTCCTAGAGTAACGGCCAATATTGCTCAATTCACAAGCACAGTTGAATTGTTAGATACAGTGTGAAGTGGCTATTCTAGGTACTTCATCATTCAGTCAAGGTAGCACCACTGGTCGTACAGAGAATAAGACGTGTAGTCCGCCAGCATTAAAGTTCTGTGAACTGATTTTCTTGATTTCTTCGTAATTATCTCACTTGGTATATCGCCCTTGAATTGCAGTCGTGTATACAGTGGCTTCTTGTTTACAGATAGTGAGTAGTTCTTTTCCGCTTATTTGTCATGTGTTTCTTGATAAGCTTTTCGGGATAGCTATTTTCGATCAGAGTATCATATACAATGCTTAATTCATCTTAAATTACTTCTGAGCATGTAGCTCTAACTGTGTGGCTGGGTGCCTTTACTAAATTTCTTTCGTACTCGAGAGGGACGAAGTTGTAAAAATGTGTGTATTTTCCTGCACGGGTACTTTTTCTATGCAAATTTCTTTTTACACTACCATCTGGTTTTCTTGTAAGGAGGACATCCAGGAAGGCAGTTCTGTCTTGGGATTCCTCTTCGCATGTAAATTTCATAGCCGAATGTACTTCACTGAATTCAGTAATCATTTTACTCCTATCCGAATCATTATCACACAGGATGGAGGTGTCATGCATATAGTGGCAATAAAATGAGAACTTACCGATAAGGTTATTCAAAAGGCAACTTTCTAGCTTGCTTAGAGAGAAATCAACCTTAAAGGGGCCCAGCATATTTATAT